CTTATCAGCTAGGTTCCCTTTTCTCAGGAGCTTGAGAAGTCCTTGAGACCCTGTTGGTGAGGGGGCGGGGCTATCTGAACCTTAACAGTCTCTATGGGACAGCTTGGTCTACATGGGGCGTTCTACGCCACCTGGATCTACAGGGAATCCTTCTCTCAAAAAGACCAAAAAACTTTTTTCCCTGAAGAGAGCCAGGCATGGTGGTGCACAATGTCATCCAGCCCCTAGGAGACAGAGGGCAAGAGAACCAGGGGTTCATGGCCAGCATTAGCAACCTAGTTTAGGTTTAGGCCCCTAGTTTAGGGCCAGCCTGGGCTACATTAGACAAAACCAGAAATCCTGAGGAGAAAGTTTAAAAGTACTCCCAAGTCAGATGTCCAGGTGTAGAACAAGCAAGTTGGTCATCCCAGCTACTCCAAACCACACACGCTTTGCTTCAACTGGCTGCACTCGGGTGTGTGAGGGACTGTGTTTGGCTGCTGAGGGACAGCAAGGGTGCCATTCTGCATCCACCCCTGCCGCTCTGAGCTCTCAGGTCAAACCTCTCCCCTTGCCTTAGGAGCTCAGAGGGTGTTCCCTTCACACTGCCCCAACCCCATCCCTCCAGGCTCCTCCCTTCAGAATTCAGTCCTCAGGGTCTGACTTATCCCAGTCAACGTCTCTTCTAATTTCCCCTGCTGGATTGGGGGCGATACTCTGGCTCCTTTCGCAGAGACCCCAGGGCCCCCCTCCGCCCCAGTCAGAATCCTCCTGAGGGCCCACTCCTGCAGAAGAGGAGGACTGACTTCTGTCTCCTGTCCCCAGCACATCCTGGAGCTGGAAGCCATGCTGTACGATGCCCTGCAGCAGGAGGCAGGGGCCAAAGTGGCTGAGCTGTTATCAGAGGAGGAGCGTGAGAAGCTCAAGGTGGCCGTGGAGCAGTGGAAGCGGCAGGTCATGAGCGAGCTGCGCGAGCGTGATGCACAGATCCTACGAGAGCGCATGGAGCTGCTGCAGATGGCGCAGCAGGTGATGGGGGAGCTGCGGGCGTAGGTGGGGATAGAGCGCAGGGCTGGCTTCCTAAGGCCCAGCTTTCCAGGGGCCACACCTCCGATCGCTGCACCCCCGCCCCCAGTCCATGCCCAGCCCTCCAGCCAGGTTACCTTCACGCCAACTAGCCTCCTAGTCTGACGGTTGTATTGCTGAGGCCCTTGAGTGGAATTTTCCCACTCAAAGGAAGTTCTCCTGGATTCCAGGTCTCCTACATGATACTGCCCCTGATGCTTAGGAGTATTGTCTGTGGACAGCAGTTGGCTAGCCATGACCTGCCCTTGATGTTTACAACAGTCAGGAACTCTGCATGTGTGGGGTTGGCCTGGACCCGGCTCCTGTGGATACAACCCGAGCTCAGAACACCTCAAATGCAAAAAGTTCAGACCACATATTCAGATAAGCCACCAGACTGGATGGTCTGTGGGCCATCTGGCCGGCTTGTTCCAAACTAGGACATGCCTGTAGCTTCTTATGTGCCCACCGTGGTCCCCTTGGGACTCCAGGGCTGTCACCGTGAGGAAGGTCCCTTCTCACCTCCTTGTCCCCTTGCATCAAGGGGTTGTGGTCGGGGCTTGGCTGCTTCCCAGGGCCCTGGCAGCCTCAGAAGGAAGGTTCTCGTGGTTGGTAGTTCTGGCCTCTGGCTGCCTGTTACTGTAATGATTTTGGGAAGGACAGTGAACTAATTCTTTTTATTGGCCTGGGTTTTTCTTGTTTTTTCCCTGGGTTCCCACACTAAAATTTCTAACAAAGTCAGAAGTCACTGGTTCCATTACAGAAGGAGAGGCCCTGGGGAAGGAGTCTCACTGTCTTTGGAGAGAAGTGACCAGCTAGGGACCACCAGGTGACTTGAGGCCAGGCCAACATGGCAGCCACTCTGTGAGCTTGCACCAAATAAGTGAGGGGAGAGTGTGATACGTTTTAGTCAGTGTCCCAAATCTCTGATTATTGAAGATTTTCCTCCTTTTAACATTGCAGAGAATTAAAGAGTTAGAAGAAAGAATAGAAACCCAGAAGAGACAGATAAAGGAACTGGAGGAAAAGGTAAATAAAGAGTGGGTGGAATGGGGGTCTGGGCTTGTCAGTGAAGCTTATAGATTAAAAAACACAAGGTGGTCCCTACCTGAGATCACTTCACATCAGATCTGGAGAGAGAACAGACTTGGCCTAGGGTGTCATTACAAGGCAGCCCACCCAAAGCAAGGTACGGCTAAGCACAAAGAAGTGCCCATTGGGTGAGAGCTGTAAGTACTCTGGGCCAGAGCTGGGAACTCCTCATGTGGCCTAGCCTGTAGCCTCTGCACCCCCTGGTTTCCCCATCTGGATCCATATGCTGGACCAATGACCTAGGGTCCCTATCCATGTTGGTGATACAGCAGTGGGTAACCCTCCAGGATCCTCAGACTTGTTTATCTGAAGGTTGGCTTCTTGAAAGACAGGTTGTGGTCCCCAAGAGCTACCCTTGGGGCTCAGAAACTGTATTTGCCTAGTCCCCAGGCAGTATCTCCAGGACCAGAGACTGAGTGCTAAGTGCATGCTCAGGTGCTTTCTCTGGCTGAATAGCCCGGGGTCCCAGGCTTCTGTCCACTCATGTTGACCTTACTGTTCCCCAGACCAGGTTGAAGGGTGTACGCCCAGAGAACCCTGACTCCTGTGGGCTGGTTGCTCAGGGTAGTTCCATTTCCTGTGTGATTTGGGGCTAGTGCAGGGGTTTCTGGGTCAAATCTCCCTCTCTCTCTCTCTCTCTCTCTCTCTCTCTCTCTCTCTCTCTCGCTCTCGCTCTCGCTCTCGCTCTCGCTCTTGCTCTCGCTCTCCCCCTCCCTCCCTCCCTTCCCCTCTCTCTCCTCTTTTCTTTCTTTCTTTCTTTCTTTCTCTCTCTCTCTCTCTCTCTCTCTCTCTTTCTTTCTTTCTTTCTTTCTTTCTTTTGTCTTTTTGAGACAGGGTCTCCCTGTACCCCCAGGTGGCCTGGAACTCGCTATGTAGACCAGGCTGGCTTCAAACTCACAAAGATCTGCCTGCCTCTGTCTTCCAAGTGCTGGAATTAAAGGCATGCACCACCACGCGGGGCTTTAAACACTTTCTTGATTCTTGTGATTGGCCCTGCCTATGGGACAGTTCTCATCAAAGTGACAGACTGAGTGAAGTGACCACCTGCCTGTCTTGTTCCTTCCAGAGAAAATAAAAGGTGGAGTTTGGATAGGACACCCACTCGGCCAGCTCACCGCAGGCTCTAGCAGGAGCCTGTAGGAGTTCTTTGCCCACCAGAGTCCCCAGGAGCTGGTCACCCCAGATATTCTACCCTTCCTTAACTAACAAAAACTGCCACCTGCTGGGCACTTTGCTACCACTGCCTACCAGGCCTTATGTAAATTCTCACACCCATCATGAGAATCGGGCCCCAGAGCCAATAAGGGCATACCCTGAGAAACAAGTTCCAACAAAGCCTGTGGACTCCAGGACATGTACCCGACAGACACACTCTCAGTGAGGCTAAGAGGGGACACATTCTCGGAGTCTGAACCCCCAAGATGACAGTCTTCCCCAGAGCATATGCTTGTTTCATTTTGCATCTTAAAGGCCTGTGTTTGTATTAACACCAGGACAATGTTAAGTTCCAGGTCTGGACTTTCTTACTTAACTAAATGGCTGAATGCGATTGCTTGGTTTTCTCCAAGTTAGTCTGGCCCCACCCCCACCCCCAAACAATTCTTCAAGTGTCAAATTTGTTCAGAGTATCAAAGTATGTTGTTGCTTATAAAAGGATTGCCACCAAAGGATTGACACAGATAACTCATATTTGCCGGGTGCCCGGACTGTCTGTCTGAGATGCTGGTGCCGGTACCCTCAGTCTAGTGACTCTTCTCCATAGACCCCTGTCCCCAAGAGGCTCGGCTTGCTGTATGGGGTGTGGAGCCTCCAGCTGAGCCTTTGGATGGTGCCTAGTCCCCTGGTGTCCTTTAGGAGCAGCACTGCCACCCAGGCTGAGGTTTGCAGTGTCCCTTGCACACGTCCTGCCCATGCCTGCTCCTCCCTGGGGGCCGCTGTCCCTGTCTATGATCATGGGTCATTTCTTTTCAGAAACACTACAAACTCTCTTTTTTTCTTTCTCTCTCCTTCTGTTTCTCCACCCCCCCCCTCCTTTTCAGTTTTTATTTTTGTTCTTGTTTTTCTCTCTAGCCTTCATTCTCTGGTCATAGCTGTTCTTGGCACCCTGATCTGGTGAGTACTTCAGGGGCTGGAGTTTTCTGGTGAGGGTCCCACTCCCTTTCCCTGGTGGTCCCTGTCACCCAGGCAACTGCCTGCCATCTTCCAGAGGCCTGTCCTTCAGAGATCAGAAACCTGTCTCCAGGCACTGGGTCCACAAGAGGGTGTGAGGTGCACTCATGACCAGCACCCTCTACGGAAGTCAGCATCCGCTTCTAGAGCAGCAGAAAGTTTTGTGATTTTTCCTGTCTTCTGGTAGCTCAGGTTCCATGTGCCCAAGCTCCTGAGCTCATCCACAGTCACGGGAATGGTGCTTGTGTGCAGAGCCTCTGCTCTGCCAGCACACAAAGGCTACATGCCACACTTTGCCACCACTTTCTGCCTAGAGGCGAGGACATGTGGAACACGGGGCCATTGTTCTAGGCAGGCTCCTGGCTCCACCCTCCAGAGCTTGTGGAAAGATTCTTTCCTGGGGTATAGCAGCCACACTGGCTGTCCTCCTCACCTCCCTAATTCCTGTGCTCTGCACCTCTTTTCTTTCAGCCTTCTGCACAGGTGGACCCCTGTCCTCTATCGGGACCAGGGAGCAGTGGGTGCCAGAGAAAGCATGGGACATAGTGAAGACTTGGGAGGGTTTGGGCTCTGTGCTCCGCCTTGTGGAAGAGGCGGGTACAAGCACCTGTGAGCTGTTCCTACTGTCCACATCGGATGAGCCAGGACTAGAACTGGTCTTGCTGATTGACGCTTCTCTGGGGAGAGGCTTGGCCTTCGCTGCTGGGCCCTGGGGTCCCTCCACCCAGAGAGCAGCCCCCATCCCAGTCAGAGGGATGTGTAATGTTCCCTGCCAAGCAGGGGTAAGAGCTGCTGTTGTGCTGGAGTTTACGCTGGAGCACCCTCTCATTCCCACAATGACCATCAGCCCTCCTGGAAGATGATGCTCAGAATTGCCAAGGCTTGTCCCTAATGGCAAGATGAAGGCTGTGGTCTCGGCAGTGACCTTCTTCAAGGGGAACTGGCAGGTGGGGGGGCTCCCGCGATACGCTGAGTGCCACACTGTTGTCACTCACTGGGGTCCTGAGCATTTGCTGATGGACAGATCCTACACCCAACCTTGTTCTGTTATGGTGGTGTCTCTCTGGGGACAGGTGAGAGTTATGGCCCCCATTGGCCTCCTACCCTACTCCTGGCATGAAGGCTGGAGTCCTACCCCAGTCTGCTGGTCAGGAGAACAGTAGGTGACCAGGGGAGAGGCAGAGAGAGTGGTAAGGGCACATGAGATGAGCATACAGAGGCCTGGCCTTGGAGAACATGGATTGCAGCATAGTCCCAGAAATGGTGGAGGTACTGCCACCTGGCCTGGAGGACTCCCAGCAGGTGGGCCCAGCCTGAGAGCTGAGCTGGTGAGAAGGCTAAAGATGGCCTTGTCCAGAGCCACAACATGCAAGGAGCAGGGCCCAGGAGAGAAGGCAAAGACAAGATGCATCGGAGATTCCACAAACTCAAGAGGGCAGCCTGAGGGCAATGGCCTGCAGGTAGGTGATGATGTGACTGAAGGCTCCCCTATCAGGGGAACCCAGGGTGTCTGTGTGAGCAAGTGGGTGATGGGTGGGGGCTTCCCGTCTCCATTTCTGGTTGTGGCCTGTATATGTGCTGAACTTACCTTCCCTGTTCGTGCTGACTCAGATGCCACGGCACCTGGCAGTGCCCTCTGAGGAAGCCACTTGAGCCACCACACTGGTGTTCCTGCTTGAGTGGGCTCCAGCCCCATGCCAGCTGTCAGCTGTTGCTGACAGGACTTCTGAAAATGGGAAGCTTCCTGCTTCATTTGTAGATCATCTGTGCCTGTGGGTCGACCCCACACATAGTGGGCACGTCCCTGTACCCAGCACAGTGATGAGCTCAAATGAACACAGGGCACCTCCTCCCTATTGCTGAAGACAGGAAGCCTTTCTCTGATTCATGAGCTGTCCATCTACCTCATCCCCAATCAGGATTACAAAGCAGCTATGGTGTGGGTGAGAGTCAACTTCCATTCACTGCAGATAATGCACTGTACTTGAGATTGAACCCAGGGCCTGGCATGTGTGAGGCAAGCACATCACCACTGAGCTATAGCCCCATCTTTTTTACTTTTTATTTTGAGACAGGGTCTCTTAAGTTACTCAGGCTGGCCTTGAACTCATGCTGGACTCCAGGTACCGAAAGTGTGATCCTTTTGCCTCAGTCTCCCAAATAGCTGGGATGACAGGCATGGCTATACTGTGAGTTTTGAACACAGGTTCCCATGACAGGATGATCCCGCTGGCCTCAGGCCTTGTGATGAATCAGGGGAGCTTGGTCCTCCCAGGGCCTCATCAGGGTGCTTACAAAGAGAAGGCAGCTGGGAACAGACTTCCTGGGAGCACCCTGAGGCTTCCGTCACTTCAGTCTTTGAGAATTGGACACTGCCTGGGTGCGCATATATCTCCTGGGACACACAGACCTGCTCTCTCAGATTTCAGTTCCCCTGGGGGATGGGACTTGCCCATCTGAGGAAGGGCACAGAAATTCCAGGTCCTGACACCCAGGGCTACCTACTGGCTGCAGAAGGGGCTTGGCTTCAGTGTAACCTGTTCGTCACAGACCTATGCACCACCCAGGAGCATATTGTGGCTTCCTTATGAACAGTCCTGGTGGGGGCACCTGTCCTCATTGACAGAGCAGAGCTCAGAACTTCCCAGGGATCGTGGTAGAAACTGTTGCTGAAGGTGGGGGGCAGGGGGGGTCATGGAGGCAGGAGTGAGAGCTGGCGCATGACACACTGTGACGACCCAGCAGGACCCTAGAGTGGTAGAGGCCCTTTCCACTTATAAGAAAAGAAAAATCCCATCTGGCCAATGAGTACCTTCTCCTGTATGCGCACACTCTTCCCATGAGCGCCCACCTTACCCAGCCCAGTGCCTGTGTGTTGACTGTGCCCATCTTTCCTGTGTGTCTGCTCTATGTGTCTGCCCACTCTCAGGAGGGCCCTTGGCAGGGAAGGAGGACCAGGTGTGAGCCAGGTGTGCTAGTCTGACTTTCTCTTCACAATCTGCGTCTCTAGATTAGGGTGTCTGGTGTTCACTGAGCTCCGCATGCCCTGTGGAGGGTGTGCTGGCTCTTGTGTGGCATGGTGGGCCACTCAGCGAGGCTCCGTCTTCCCACCACACACCATCCCAAGGCCAGGAGGCTGTCCCCTGGTGGGGCTGTGCAGGGGAATTCCAGAGAGCCAACCCAGCTATTCTGGAGAGTCACGCCTGTGTGAAAATGGCAGGAAGTTGTGAGACATGGCTGTTTGGCTGGGCGGCTGGGGACATTTCCTGTCTTTCACATCACGTTGGGGTACATGCTTTTAGAGGAATGTGTTGTATAGCGGCCTGTTCTTCAGTATGAGTACAGGGTAGTATGGCCTCCAGTATCTGTGAGCAGGCATAACCAGAAATTTCAGAGAGAAGCTTATTCTAGAACTAGGAGGCTGCTTGGCTCAGCCCTGCAGGAAGTGCCAATATGAGCCACATGGGGGCGCTCCAATTCAACTCCTGCAGGGCCATGTGGTAGGCTGCATGCGCTCAGGCTGTGTGTCCTGTGAGCTGGAGAGCCTCATAGTGAAAACATCCGGCCCAGTGAGACCCCTTCATGTACCACATGGAGGTGCCAGAGGTCAACACACTGAAACCATCAGTGACTAGCTTTGATGCTCTCGAAAGCAGGAGCCGCGGGTAGACTCTGCATGCCGTGGGGGAGGACTTTGATGTCACTCACATCTCCTTTTTCTCCTCAAACTCGCTGCCAGATTTTAGTGCCTTCCAGTAAGTTTTCCTCAGGGAATCCTGTGTCCCATTCAGTTCTCCATGTTCCAAGTCTGTCCCATCATGAACTTTTTTCTTAAAGCCCTGAGTGTTCTTTAAGGTTGACACTTGGCCCTGATACATGTCCCTGATACATGTCCCATCACCACAAGACCCATCCTGTATTGTCCCTGTGCCAGACCTGGGATCCGCCCCTTCTCCAAGGAGTGCTGGCCCCTCGTTGGAGAATGTGGGTGAGACACCAAAATCTTCAGGTCTGGGTGTGCTTGCTGCTGCTGGAGTGGCTTCATTTGCCCTCCTCTCAGGCAGAACTGAGACATGCATGTATGTGTACTAAGCTATGTATTCCCAACATCTGTGTTCACCTATCATCTGCCTGTCATCAACCGTCATCTACTGACCCATCACTTACCTCTCCACCCATCCTTTTATACCCGTTATCTACCACCTATCAACATCAACCAATCATGTATCTTTTCTATATTTTATTTATTATATTTTATTTTATGTGTTTGCATGATTGCCTGGATGTAGGTAAGTGCACCTGTGTTGTGCAATGACCATGGAAGACAGAAGAGGCCGTCGGATCTCCTGGAACTGGAGTTACAGACAGTTGTTAGCTGCCATGTGGGTGCTGGGATTCGAACCCGGATCTTCTGCAAAAGCAGCCAGTGTTCTTAACCGCTGAGCCATCTCTCCCGCCCCCCACTCATGTATCTTATATCACCTGCCTGTAGCTGTTATGAAACCGTGAGCTCATAACCACGCCCCTAGGTATTATGAAGCCGTGTGCTCATAACCACGCCCCTAGGTATTATGAAACCGTGCGCTCATAACAACGCCCTAGGTATTATGAAACCGTGCGCTCATAACAACGCCCCTAGGTTCAGCCCAGCAACCCAAGGTCTGTCCTAGCCCTGCTCTTCCCTTCTTTCCACCTCTCCCTTTGTTGGCAGTGTGGTACGTGACTCTCACTGTCTACAGTACACTTGCTCACTGTCCAATGCTGGTAAACACACAAAGTCATCTCAAAATTGCTAAGAGACAACCTCACTACCTAGAACATGGTCTGTAGACAGCTCAGATCATCTTTGGCCTTACACTATCCAGAAAAAAAATGTTGCTCTCCAAGATAACTTAGGGAGTCCTTCCTCCCAATCTCTCCAGTACAGTTATGCTCTATTCCTAAAAGTCAGGTTCCTGTGCCACAACTGGTATTTCTTTGCCCCACATGCTGTTTTTTTAAAATTTTTCATATATAGCAGTGTTTACTGTTTGTGATGTGTAGTGGATGTTCTCTGGGTTTTGACACATGCACGGCATACATGTCTGCCACCATCGTGACAGATATCACATCTCCAGACTCTTTCTCCCTTTGCTGATGCACCCCCCGGTCCCCCCCGCCAGCCCTGATCTGTTTCTCCTCCTCTCAGTTTTGTCATTTTCAAGTCCTATGAATAGAATCACATACTATGTAGCTTGAGGACTCCTGGCTTTGATCTCTTAGCAAAACCCACTTTGGAATCCTTGGCATGGATGAGTGGCCCACTGGTGTGTCCCTTTTCGCCCGAGTGAGCCTTCATGCCCCTTGACTCAATACCTAGGACAGGCCTGTGGTGTCATTTGGTAAAGGTATGTTAGAGGAAACTCATCCAACCCAGCTGTGCTGTGTGCGCTCCTACCAGCAAGGTGGGAGAGACGTCCTGTTCGGCAGTTTCTATTTGGCTGGTTTTTCAGCATCTTACTTTGGTTTCCGTTGGCATTTAATAGTGACAGTATTGACCATCTTTTTTTGTGTGTAGATTTTCCATCCATATATTCTCTGTAGTAAAGTGTCTCTTCATGTCTTTAGCCCATTTTTGAAATGAGTTGCTTGCTGGTCTCTTGATGTAGCATTTCAAGTCTTTTCTGTATAATCTAGATATGTTTGTTATCTATAAAATTCAAAACTATGTCCTTTCAGATTATTTTTCTCAATACAAAGTCTTGTTGGGCTGGGGAGACAGCTCAGTCGGTAAATCACTTGCCATATAAGCATGAGGACTTGAGCTTGATCCCCAGAACCTGCAGTTTAAAAAAAAAAAGCCAAGCATGGTGCTGCATACTTGTAACGACAGTGCTGGAGAGACAGAGACAGGTGAGTCCCTGGAGCTCCCTGGCTGGCCAGCCTAGCCTACTTGGCAAGTTCCAGGTCAGCAGCTTTGTCTCAAAAAAAGAAATGGTTGGCGCTGGAGGAATGACACTTGAGGTTGTCTTCTGACCTTCACACACGTGTCTGTATACATGTACATGTGCCCCCTCATGTATACATGTACATACATACGTGCACACACACACGCACACACATACACATAAGAGTCTTGGTATACAGCTCAGGCACTCACTGTGTAGCCTCAAACAGCTATTCTCCTGCTTCAGTAGTCTGAGTGCTGATGTCACTGGTGTGAACCATCATGCCCAGCTCCCTGAGTGCTGATGTTACCGGTGTGAGCCACCACACCCAACTCAGAGTCCTTTTTTTCTTTTTCCTTTTGAGAGCATTTCATAAAAAGCAGGCGCTCTTAATATTGATGAAGTCTAATTTATCAACTGGGGCTAGGGAGAGCTGAGTGAGTGAAGAGCTTACCATACAAGTTTGAAGACTGGGGTTTGGATCCCTAGCACCCACAGAAATGCTGGGTGGGCATGACAGCCTACCTGTAATC